ATACTCATTCTCCCAAGTTGCTTCACGTTATGATCTTGCGTTTGAAATCCCTATTTGAATATTGCGGCCAGCTGTATGTGGCCAGCTGTGTTTGATGGTACGGTACGGTACGGGACAGATACGGGATAGCGCCAGGCGTGACACAAACACACAAACAAACAAACACCAAATTAAAGCTGTGTGGACCCTGGCTAGCGCCAGACGTTACTGAAGTAACGTCTTCTGCATAGCTACGGGAATTAAAGCTGCGTGGACCCTGGCTAGCGCCAGACGTTACTGAAGTAACGTCTTCTGCATAGCTACGGGAATTAAAAAGGGACTTCACTGCTCACGGATCCATAGCTATCATAGCTCATCTGCTTCGGTCTGATTGAGCACTCTTTCTGGTTCGGGTCAAAGTCACCGGCCCTCGTGCAAAGCTCACCGCGTTCCGCGTAGCTCGAGCACTCTTACTTTAGTGCTTTGAGCTGGCTTAGGAAATGCTGCGTTGTTCATTAGATTTTATTGCGATTGGTTTGGTCAGCCGCTCTGATCTTTGCTGATGAGACCTACCAGGGTCAAAACGGCTAGCTGTCCCGAGATAGAGAAGCGTGTACAGTATAATTGGAAAGGCTTCCTGTCTGAAGCCTTTCCATACTGGTACTCGATGTTCCAGTTTTGTGACACGAGAATGGCACGAGAATTAGTGTACCGCTGAGTGTACCGCTATACACGTGGTCGACACGTAGTCGACACGTTGCTGATACTTTTTTGACACGTGACCCCGTCAACGGTCTGCTTTGTACCAATGCCACTCGGTAAACGCCGATGTCGCGTACGACAAAGACGGCTATCCCGTACGCGAAATAGTTGAGAATTGCATGACGTGGACCTGACGCGCAAGGACAACTGCGAGGAGGCCCCTTTCGGTACCCCTGACGGGAAGGAGAACTGCAGAAGTCGACGAAGTCGAACGAGGAGGCCCCTTTTCCGTACCCCATACTGCAAAGTGCCATTGATGGATACCTTTTGCACCTGGAACGACCCCTTAAACGCTGTCGCGGCGACTATCCCGTACGCGAAATAGTTGAGAACTGCTGACGTGGACCTTTTGCACCTGGAACGGCCCCGTAAACGCTGTCGTGTCGGCGGAGTGAATGTGCAGGGTACTAGGGTGAAAAGAATTGCTGCAAAGACGTCCCCTCTACTAGGCTCTAGGCCTTTGCCTTTGGAGACATCGTCGGCGAACTGAATGCGCAGGGCGAAAAGAATTGCTGCAAAGACGTCCGCTCTAGGCCTTTGGAGACATCGTGGGAACTCCTTCCGGTACTATACAAACTGCTGACGTGGCCGTGGGCATGTGCATGGAGAGTGGAGAACTGCAGAAGTCGACGAAGTCGAACGAGGAGGCCCCTTTTCCGTACCCCATACTGCAAAGTGCCATTGATGGATACCTTTTGCACCTGGAACGACCCCTTAAACGCTGTCGCGGCGACTATCCCGTACGCGAAATAGTTGAGAACTGCTGACGTGGACCTTTTGCACCTGGAACGGCCCCGTAAACGCTGTCGTGTCGGCGGAGTGAATGTGCAGGGTACTAGGGTGAAAAGAATTGCTGCAAAGACGTCCCCTCTACTAGGCTCTAGGCCTTTGCCTTTGGAGACATCGTCGGCGAACTGAATGCGCAGGGCGAAAAGAATTGCTGCAAAGACGTCCGCTCTAGGCCTTTGGAGACATCGTGGGAACTCCTTCCGGTACTATACAAACTGCTGACGTGGCCGTGGGCATGTGCATGGAGAGTCATGGTGGGACTTCATGTACATGGATACATGGTGGGAATTCCTTCCGGCACCCCCGTACCGCAAAGCCAACGGTGGGGAAGGAGAAGTGCAGACGTGCAGGAAGACGAACGAGGAGGAACCAGGACGAGCGAGCAATGGCAGGACTAGCTGGACCGTAAGTAATAGCTGAATTGTGCATGACAACTTGACATCCATGCGGCACTCGCCACTGCATATTTCTTGTCCACTAACAATGTCTCTCCTCTGCCCCCTGTGTGTCCACGGCCCTGTTGCTGAATTGGCCCGATGAATCGAATGTCTTCCGCAACTGGAACGGCCCCGTGAACGCTGTCGCGTCGGCGACTGAATGCGCAGGAGGGAAAATATTGCTGCGAAGACGTCTCCTCTAGACGACGGTAAGGCACCCCATTGATATGTTGCCAGTGTGTGCCAGGGTATCGCGCGATGGTGAATGAGGAATGATGAAGGGTACGGTGGGACTGTAGACCTGTTACCTTCTACTAACACGTTATCAGGTGGAGAGTGTCTTGTACTCACGTTATCAGGTCGAGAGCGTATTGTAGTCACTCTCTCTATTCCTGTACTTCATTACGTTTAAGGTGTACGTATAACTTCTCAAAAAAATTTAATGGTCTACAGTCGTGTCGGAAGGGTACGGTGGGACTGTAGACATGTTACCTTCTAACACGTTATCAGGTGGAGAGTGTCTTGTACTCACGTTATCAGGTCGAGAGCGTATTGTAGTCACTCTCTCTATTCCTGTACTTCATTACGTTTCAGGTGTACGTATAACTTTTCCAAAAAATTTAATGGTTCACGTCTTCAGATAGAGAGCGTATTGCACCCACTGTCTAGTCTCTGTAGTGCATTGAGATTTTGTTGATCGAACATGAAATGGATACACATACAAAGCCAGGCCAAGTACATGGCGAGATGTCGCCAGAAGAACGTCTTCAGGTAGAGAGCGTATTGCACCCACTGTCTAGTCGATTTTGTGGATTGCACATGAAATGAATACACAGACAAAGCAGGCCAAGTACATGAGAGAGTGGACGATGTGCAGATCGACACGGCCTGCGGGTACTTCATTAAAGTTACCCGTGACATAACTAGGATAAAAGTTAATCACTGCAAAAACATTGCCAAGTATGTGAGCACTTTGGACTTGACAGAAGAGTGCACGGGCGACGTTGACAAAACATACCGCGGTGACTGTCACTATCATGACAGCAGGGCACATCGCACGCAGCATCGCAGATCGTGTCGAATTGCGCATCATAATATTGCAAAATTGCTCCTGTGCATGCAAGTGGATTTCATTGCACTTCTCAGTTTGGGAAATGCTCGATTATGACAATTCTCCGTGTGAGTGCACTAGCCCTGAACAGACATGTAGGTGAACCGTTTGTGGTGTCTCATAGCCTACCTCACGACCTTCTGCTTTCTTTCTTCATCACTTGTATCTTGCAGGTATATCATCCCGTGACGACCACATTGAAGTCTGAATTTGAAGTGTGAAGATGCTTCAGCAACCACATCGTACTTTTCTATTGCTCTCATTGTGCTTCTACTGTGCATGTGTGTAACTTGTGGGGTAAACATGTGATGACATTGTATGCTGGCGACACGGTCAGATGTTCATGCGTCTAACGTACACCTGCATGTTATGCATTGAAAAGGGTTTGCCACTTGCGATCCTGGGACGAGTATCAGGTCCGCTTTGTCCTGTGTGGGCTGTATCAGATTGCTGTTCACTTCTCTATCTGTTGGATATGTGACTTTCTGCAAGTTTCTGGTGTATGATGGCCACATCCTTGCTTGTCACTTTGTATGATATTACATTCTGTATTCGCTGCTTCCGGCATGGCATGGTCTGCAAACTGCAATCCTTGGGCAAATGTCATGTTTGCTATGTTGTGCTTTGGCCGTCAGCTTGTCTACACGCTGTAGTTGAATTATTTTTGTTTCACAACTGACTTCCTCAAGTACGGTGGCCACCGCTTTGCAGGGCATTATACATGAAGAATTTCCTGTTTGTGTCGTGTGCATGTGCGTATGTGTGCGTGGCCACGTGTGTGTGCCGTGTGCATACACATGTTTGTGTATCTGTACTGTGTGCGGGGTAGCGAGGCGGGGAGGGCTGGTATGTATCAGTGTGTTATTGCAGTCGCATGGCTACATACAGTACATCGCGCGCGTGGTCATCATGTTTACCTTCGGGGGTGGGGAGGGAACGGAAAAAGAGCTGAAATTATCCATATAAAAATCGCTCTGTGAGCGGTTCTGAAAAACCTTTACTGGTACTGCCCCGTCGTAAAAGTAAGAAATTAGAACTGGCCCATTGTCCCCCCAAATGCGAACTGATCCACCTAAATCGCGAATGACGGGACCCGAACGCACCAGTAGCACGAGGTTCCTACCTGTGGATGCAGATGGGGACGTTGGTCCGGACCATAGGCCATGTACTGTACTAGCGGTAGGCTTCCCTATCAAAATAATAAATTCTACTGCTACTACTGGTGTTACCCTATGATAATTGCCGTGATCCTGTGCCCTCCCGACCTCGTGCTACTGGTGCGTTCGGGTCCCGTCATTCGCGATTTAGGTGGATCAGTTCGCATTTGGGGGGACAATGGGCCAGTTCTAATTTCTTACTTTTACGACGGGGCAGTACCAGTAAAGGTTTTTCAGAACCGCTCACAGAGCGATTTTTATATGGATAATTGAAGCTATACCGTATTTCCCCGAATATAAGTTGCACCTTTTTACACTAAACTTCAAGGGCCAACAAAGGGGGTGCGCCTTACAATCGAGCATGGTGTACTACTGAAGTCAGTGTATTGAAACGATATGACATAGACCTGAAAATGGAGATGCGACTTACAACCGAGTGCGACTTATAATCAGGGAAATACGGTCATAGGAGCTGAGACACTTGTTTTTCTTCTGATCGGACGGACACTGTACAGACAGTGTTTCCACCTCAGTTTTGTATGCAATGTGATACAGCTGTAGTGTTGCAAGTGTAGTGGTACAAGTGAACAAAGGCGTGCGAGTGTGCAATGGTAGATGAACATAATACTACATCTATTGCGTCCTGTTTTGTGTGTGTGTGTGTGTGTGTGTGTGTGTGTGTGTGTGCGTGCGTGCGTGCGTGCGTGTGTGTGCGTGCGTGCGTGTGTGTGTGTGTGTGTGCATGTGCGCGCGTCATTATTCCAGCTGCTCTACATATCGATGACCAGCAAGACGGCCTGCGAGCCTTCAATCCGGGAGACTGGGTGACATATAGCTTGCATGCAATATGTGAGTCAACATTCTGGTGTCTTATTGGCTTGGTAAATAGCTCACACACAGCGCCAGCAGGGGCTGACTACAGTGGCCCTTATGCTTAGGGATGATCACAGCACCAGGAAGGGGTGAGTGAGGATTATGGCGTCAGGAGCATCCGCAGCTCCTCTCAGGTCACATTGGTTACAAGCATAGCAGTGAAACACTAGACCAAACCGTGGAAAGGCTTCACGTATACAACTATTTGTACAAAATATTAATTATTAGTACATAATATATGTATGCAGCAGAGGTGCCCGGGTCGAGAAAGCGTAAACCGAATGGGTAAATTCCGGCGGTGCGAGAATTGGAAATTCAGCCTTCGCTTCGGAATGGGCGGAATTGGATTCTGCGGATTCTGACGACGAAATCTGTGTAATCAAATGGTGCATGTTTGGTATCGTATTCTAGAATGAACGGAATTGTGTGTAATCGAAAGTTCGAAAGTTTCCATTTAGTAAATGAGCATATTAACCCTCTCAGTGCCATGGGCGACTAAAGTCGCCCAGACTGAGTATGTGAGTACAAATAAATTTGTATCTCCACTTCTACACACAGGAGAGTTACAAACGACCACTCTACGTCTTCAGGAAGACCTTGGCTATCGACTCATCACACCGTTTTGTGTCTGTGAGGATAGATATCGCCAGGGCGAAGCCTGAAGCGCGCGCGCTCGGACAAACAATTGTCGCGTGTAGAAAACATGACGTATGCGCATCGCGGGTTTCTCTATTTCTTTCGTGGCAACCCATGCGTATTGGGTATCAAAACATCGAGATTTTCAGTGGCTTTCAGGCCAACTTTGTCCGAATTTCGTGCGTTGAAATTTGACTGCACTGCGATCAATCGCGCGCGTGAGAAAGTGCAGATGCTACGAAAATGCAGAAAACGGACTTCGCTCAGGCGCCCTCGCGAGGAAGACTATTTTCGCTGCATTTTCTCTTCACAGCTGTCTGCCTGGCCATGATATCTTCACAGAGAGCCATCGTTTGTAAAGATCCGTGGATATACAGCTGAGCTATGAAACATTTCAGCTCAACTCGGAAAAATTTGAATTTTTCTGACCCCCTTGGCACTGAAAGGGTTAAAAAGCAGCATTCGCATGTTCTGATTATGCGTTCCCAGCTGCTTCGCCTACAACAAAGGCTGCAGCAACCCATATGCCAGAGCATACGGTGGGAGGAGAAGGAGGACCAGGAGGAGACAGCGTTGACAATGGTGGGCTGACTAAACGTAAGTCAGTCGAGTCCAAAGCTGCATAAGCCGTGTGTTGACAGCGCTCATCCCCACTGCCATTTCTGGGATACTTGTTTTGAATGATTTTTCTGATCGGATGGTGTACAGGCAGTTTGTCCGCCATGATCTTTGTCTGCAATGCTATACAATTGTAAGGTTACAAGTGAACAGAGATGTGTGAGTGCGTATTAATAGAGTGTGTTTATCTCTGAAAATGGAAATTCTCTACATACATGTACTTGTAACCAGTGCACGCTAGCAATGTTCCCATGCAAAACAAACATGTGTAGGAAGTACTAGGAACCGTGGTCAACAGTGCTTAGAGGCGAGGGTGCCCATCTCCTTGTGTGTATGTGTTTGTGTGTGTGTGTGTGTGTGTGTGTGTGTGTGTGTGTGTGTGTGTGTGTGTGTGTGTGTGTGTGTGTGTGTGTGTGTGTGTGTGTGTGTGTGTGTGTGTGTGTGTGTGTGTGTGTGTGTGTGTGTGTGTGTGTGTGTGTGTGTGTGTGTGTGTGTGTGTGTGTGTGTGTGTGTGTGTGTGTGTGTGTGTGTGTGTGTGTGTGTGTGTGTGTGTGTGTGTGTGTGTGTGTGTGTGTGTGTGTGTGTGTGTGTGTGTGTGTGTGTGTGTGTGTGTGTGTGTGTGTGTGTGTGTGTGTGTGTGTGTGTGTGTGTGTGTGTGTGTGTGTGTGTGTGTGTGTGTGTGTGTGTGTGTGTGTGTGTGTGTGTGTGTGTGTGTGTGTGTGTGTGTGTGTGTGTGTGTGTGTGTGTGTGTGTGTGTGTGTGTGTGTGTGTGTGTGTGTGTGTGTGTGTGTGTGTGTGTGTGTGTGTGTGTGTGTGTGTGTGTGTGTGTGTGTGTGAAGACTTGGCGAAGCGCAGCGGCATGCCAGCCTCGCTGGAGGAGGCCATTCGTGCGAATCGCCTGCGATGGCTTGGTCACCTTGCAAGGATGGACGACACCAGGTTGCCAAAGCAGATCCTGTTTTGGGAGGGCACTAACACGCGGCCCCGCCATGGACCCAAGCGTCGTTGGAGAGATGTGGCAGCTTCAGACCTGCGTGCGACCGGTATCCCGGAGGCGCAGTGGTACCACCTTGCTCAGGACCGGAGGGACTGGCGCGAACGTAGCCGTCGGAAGCCACCAAGCCAGCCCCAACCAAGAGTGTTCGTCTGTGTCTGCGGCCGCGACTTTCGCCGTCCGAATGATTTATCCCGACACAAGAACTACTGCCTCGCCTAATAGCTATCATCGCCTTCGGCGATGGGCTTTCCAAAGGTCCAAAGGTGTGTGTGTGTGTGTGTGTGTGTGTGTGTGTGTGTGCATGTGCGTGTGTGTGTGCATGTGCGTGTGTGTGTGTGTGTACCGTACTTGCGCGATTAGAGCCCTCTCTTGAACAGTACCCTAGTCTCCAAGAGCCTGTGAAAAATAAAGCCCTCTCTCGAATAGTGCCCCCCCCCCCCCCCCGTATTGTAACCAAGCCCGTGTGCAAGTTTGGTGTTCTTTTGCTAATGTTCTTGGCCATTGCTTTGCACTGGTGTTTTCAGGAACAAAATCGCAGGTCTTGTTCCCGTTTCCGTGGAGTCGTGAGCGTTTACAGTACACTTTAGGCTCTGTTTTTCTTTGTTTTATTCTGGATGACGCAAATGTACCAGCGATGAAAAAGTAGTGCCCTCTCTTGAATAGTACTGCCCCATCTGTGATGGACATTGAAAAAATAGTGCCCCAGGGGCACTAATCGCGCGAGTACGGTATGTGTGTGTGTATGTGTGTGTGTGGTGTGGTGTGTGTGTGTGTGTGGTGTGGTGTGTGTTGTGTGTGTGTGTTGTGTGTGTGTGTGTGTGTGTGTGTGTGTGTGTGTGTGTGTGTGTGTACATGTGCATTTGTGTAACAACCATGACTAACTGTACTACTGTGGCATGTGTGTGTGTGTGTGTGTGTGTGTGTGTTCCACACAGAGCAAGTGAATACCACTGACAACACTCACAGCAGCAGAGGTGCCAGTTGCTGTACAGGCGCAACAGCAACACCCACTCTTGTATGGATCTACCTGGGGAGCGACTTATTTTTCAAGCTATGCATTCTCTTCCTGTACAATTTTCCTCGGAAGTAGCTAGTACATCCATAATCCCCTCCCACTTCCGATGCTGCCACTGCCGCCGATGGCAGTGCCACTGCCGCCGATGGCAGTGCCACTGCCTGACTGCAACAATGAGCAGTCCATCGCCGGTAGTGTATTTTTTAGTGTGTTTACTTGATCAGGCCCGTAGCAGCCCCATTTTGGTTGGTCCGGCAAGATCCGACTTCGATGCTCCCCCCCCCCCCCCTCCCCCCGAGCCCACACTCATACATATGCCGGTACATGTACAAAATGTACATGATTGTACATGATTGTATGAAGAGTACATAACCCCCATGTACTCTTGATTGTACATGTACATGTACTCTTGATTGTACATGTACATGCATGTAATCGTGACCATGCAGAGTGACATAGGGCGAGAAAAGGAAGAAGGACGTTCGGCATGAGTCAGAAAAAAGGGCATCGCATGTTGTGTCCGTCCAAACAGAACTTGTTGAAGCCTATGAAGGCATAGCAACCGTATCTAAATGCATGTGATAAAAGAACCAGAATGGACCTTTGGAGGAGGAGAAAGGATATTGCAATGGAAAATCTTTGGTACAAACAAACTCTATCTAGAAAGAATTGGAGGAAGAAAAGAATCAATACATTTCAGGAAGCACAGAGTAGGAACATTCACAGGCATGACTGTCCACATGACCTTCAGCAGGGTCATACTCCTGATGACATGTAGGTCTACTACTAGCACTACTATTTCTACTCTTGCTACTACAGTGGTCCCTCTATAATCCGGCACCATTTGTGCCACGAAAATCTGCTGGATCAGGGAGGGTGCTGGATTAACAAATCTGATCTACTGCTGCAATGTGCATCATAGAGGACATTTGGCGACTGAAAATTGTGCCGGTTTATCGAGGGTGCTGGATTAGAGAGGGACGACTGTACCTCTATACTACTTATTGCACACATCGATCCCATCAATGGTACCGGGTGGACATCCTGAGCTGCTCACATCTGTGAGGTTCGTTTTTTTTGTTTTTTTTTGGTCGAATATTGGTCCAGCAGCTGCCGGACCGCCTGCTACGGCCCTGTTGATTTCGTTCTCTTCATGAAAATTCTGCTAGCTTAGACTTGAACCTCGAACGTTCTTTTTGACTGAGAAACAGAGGGTACCAGGTTCAAGTCCTGCTTGGAAGCGGAAGGATTTTTTTCAGCCGTGCTGCGACCCACAGTTAATTGAGAACTCGTGGCCTGGCACGAGGAAAACATGGATGCAGTGAATGGGATTTTCGGTCTTTGACCACATGCTGGTGAGCTGATCTACTCACCTCCCACCGCTTTAGGAGCTGCATCTGCGCCTTGATCCTTGGTTCTTTTTGACAATTTCTGTTTGCTGCCAGCTTTTAAAATTATGTCGATTCTTTTTCATTACTACATTCGGTTAGGGTTTCGCGTACTTGGAATTTTTTGATATTCATCCTAGTCTTTCTTTGTAATGTTTCCTTGGAGCAATACAATCTCTTCAAGTCGATCTATTTCCAGCGGGGTTCGTTGTTTCTGTCTTTATTCACGGTGGCGATTAGCATTGTGAGCCGACGTCGACACCGTGGGTACACCTGTTGGGTGCTGGGACGGCGCCAGCAAGGAGAGCTAGCGGGTTTCTTGATTTCTCTTGACTGGAATGAGTGCAATCAGAGCGTTGGGCATGTGTAAGTGTGAGTATGTTTAAAATAGTACATGATCATGGTGGACACAGTGACGACCTGTAGACTCTACCTGCCGTCTTTGAGCATTGACTGTAGGATCGCACACGGTATGCATGCCGCTGGCGCAGACCTTTGCTTTGTGCACTCGAGTGTAATGACTAATGTCATACAGGGGCAGATTGTAGCAACAGGTCACGCCGCTAGGGTATCAGGATGAGTCGGATTGACCTTGGCCGTTCTGCCCAGTCTATCTCTTCACATCGACCAATCAACAAAACATTGCGGCACAGAATTAATGGATGTAGTATGTCTGTGATCGACGATTCGTCATGAACCATGTCAATTACCTTCGCCGCTTTCACTTCGGGCTTCCTCAATGGCAATGCAGTAGAGGAGCTGGTTGGCACAGACATGTAGCACCGAGTTGCTACGGTCACGATGGACCTTTACGTCCAGCATAGTCAGGTGATCATTGCAATGACCATGCAGAAATCTCTCTTACAACACACAGTAGTACACAGACACACACATATACACACGTGCAAGCACGCGCGCACACACACATGCGTGCGCAAAACACACACACACACACACACATACATGGACGTGCGCGGGTATAATTTGTAAATAATAAGCCATAAAGACCCCCAGATCAGACAGACAGTAAGCTTAGCCTAGCCAAGTAGAGGGGACGGTTTCAAATAGGACATAGGGTCCAAACAAATTTGGCTGTCAAAGCATCCCGGTATCGAGCCGTCCCCTCTACATGTAGTGTAGTTGGCTCATTCCTTGGTTAGTTACCGTATTATCTCTAATATAAGCACGGTCCTTTATTCTTTCAATGTACCTCCGCCCCGTGCTATTATTGGAGACGTTCCTTTATTGGAGACTGTTCCATTATTATTTCAACCTCATTTCAGAGGCTTGTTGCCATGCCAAATTCATGTCAGACACACACATTTCAGGGTTTTTTCGCCGGTACAGATAATGAATTTACGCGGTGTGCTTATAATGGAGACTGAGCACTTTATTTTTTGAATGCCGCCCCAAGGTGTTCTATTATTGGAGACGTGCTATTATTGGAGACTGTGCTTATATTAGAGATAATACGGTATACGGTTAGTTATAACCTAGTTTGTAGTACACTGTCATGTCCATGTATACAGTCATGCCATACCCTTTCTAAGTTTCTTGACTCGCTCCTCAGTCTACAGACTACAGTCTACACAACTGTACACTGTACAGACGAGCACAGTGTCAGTCTCCACTGGCACGGCGATCCTACGGAAATCCGTAGAGAGATTTATGTATGAAAGTTGCCCTCGATCCCCGGCGCGTACGACATACGGATTTTCATACGTAATTACGTAGAGCGAAACCTCCCTAATAATGCAGCGTTTATAGTGCTAAAGGTGTTACGTGTCTACACAATCACAAAGTCATGCAATGCATAGTGCTCAAATGCCCGGAATGGGAGGAGCGTAGTACCGGTACGCAAGAGGTACACAAAAGGAGTAAAATAGGGCTGTTTCGTTGTTACTCAAAGTGTCATGGCAAAAACCATTCATCAGACAACATCTCATGATCATGATTGTAGCCGATTGTTGCCAAAAACCTGGGATTTCCCGATATTATCCACTATGAAACTCGTTATGCCGCTCAAACCTCACATAATGCTCGTTTTGTTCCTTTCTAATGCTCCATATATAATGCTCTGATGCTCGGATAGTCGTATAATGCCAAATATAATGCCGGCATTATCCGCTGGACCCTAGAGGGTAGCAGCAATGGTGAAGACTGTGTTGGTAGAACAGGCTTGTAGGTGTGGGGAAATGCAACGATCCTGCTTCAGTGTTTGTTTTTGATTGAATTCATGAATCCATCCTCATAATCACCGCACCATGCCATACTACTGTAGCACTTGCGTTAGTAGTCGCTATGTCCCAGGTGTCGTCCACTTAGTTTTTTGAACAGTCGATGGGTGAGGGCCTTGGAGAACCTGGTACGAGAACTCGTACTCCTCGATTCGGCTCGAATCCTTTTTACCGTGGCTCTGAGCTGAATAAAGTTGTAGTTGGTAATAATCGTGACTATTTTGAACTTGTAAGTTATAGTTGCTGGGTACATCCCTAGGCCCTGCGCACGACAACATACTAGTATGCACTTTGCAATCAACCACAAAATGTTAGAAAAGAAAAAAATACTTGTTTTTAAATCTTCGGCCAGTATGACTGCTACATGCAGTACTATTCACTTCGTCTTGGCCTGGGGCTTAGACATGGGGGAAGTTGCCAAACAGCGGTGGTGAGCCCGCCTTCCGGCACGGGGAATTCAACTAAATAATTATTTCCCTGCCGGCGCTCACTAGACTTCGGAACCACACGAACGAGGGGAGAGAAACGGGAAAGGAATTAGTTGCTTGATGACGCCGCTCCAAAGAGCACCACGTCTTTACTGCGCTTTTACGTGAGAAACGCTGTGCTTTTTCTGTTTCGCAAAGAAACATCTGATCAGGTCGTAGGTCTTGCCTCAACGAACTGTTACTTGACAGTTATTACGCTGATGTGAGGAAACAGAAAGGCTGCCAGGATCAGGAATACTGAACGGAAACCCTTTTCTTGCACGTGCAGTGTAAGTCTGGAATGCAACGCGGTCTATAATGGGTCCGGAATGCATTGCCCCTTGCAATGTTTTTTTCTGTTTGGCGCGCATGAGCAGTGCTGAAACCGAGACCGGCCTATGGACTATGGTCGACCGGTCGCAGGTTGAGCTACTCTTGAGTCTTGCCCCGCCTCCACTGCTTCGGCTGCCATCCTTATGTGTATCTCTGTGCGTTTTTGCCGGTGTTTGCACCATGATGGTTTGTGGCTATGTTGTAAAAAAAAAAAAAATGTGAAGCTGCGGTACGCGCACGCGGTCCCATCTTCACGAGATCCAACAAGATTTTGGACGCGGTTTTGAAGGCAAAGAAGATGGCGCCTCTCCAACTGGCGCCATGGCCCATGGACACGACCCTCACGAACATTCTGCTTTTGGCATCGAGTGGGGCGATCGTGCGAGTAATCAGTTACTAGTAGCATGCGCTAAAATTGTAGGCTAGCAATAGCTGCAACTGCGAACGCGACACCGTTCCAAACAGCAATGCTTCGAAAGCAATAAAATTATTACTTGTACAATGTTGCACCTACGCGTATATGGCTATTTATGACATATTCCCACAAGTAATACAACAAGGACAACATTGCGTCATGTAGTAGTAGTAGTACATGTAGTAGTAGAATTTATTATTTTGATAGGGAAGGCCCTACAGACGTTGTCGTCTTGTTACAGGGAACCCTAAGTGCTCTTTACAAAGCGAAACAAAAACGGATAGATGCTCAACCTGACGACACGAGACAGGCAGAGAATTCCACCTACATGTATCAGCGCCAAGGAAAGAAATGGAGAACATGCCATATCTAGTGGTAGCAGCGGGCAAAGAAAGTGAAGAGAATGATTGCCCTCTAGTGCGCCTCTCGGTGCAAGTAGCAACTGACTGG